GCTGACAAAGTGACGCTTACTGAGCTTTAACTGATAATGCTGAGAGATGCTCTGAAAGAAAGCAATATCTTAGAGATGCACACATCTCTATTTGATCTAAATCTATTCTTCCATATAATAAAACGTGGTATCTGAAGAAGAAAGATTAGCACTCTCTGTCCCTTGATGCTTTTGTTTATTTGTATCCTCATACACATAGCTGAAGCTGTAAAAACTGCCCCCCCAGAAATTTTTATTTGAATCTACAAATGACACTTTCATTACTTAGCTATTCAAAGCAATTATGATATGATAATAAGTGATACTTTCAATCCTTTTAAAAAATACAATATTCTGACAATATAATACAGAACAAAAAGCAAAGCACAAAACCACAACAGGATCTTCTTTAGTTGTTAAAGGTGAGTCAAATATTATCAATGAACTGTTTGCAGATTTATCTAAAAAAGTCAAATTGTCAGTGTTAATTACATTGGATGTGAACACAAAACGTGGAAAAAATGTACCTACTAGGCACAGAAATAATCCAGTCACTTAAAAAGTAATGAAGCATACCGAAATTCTTCTGCAAATGCAGATGATTAAAAAACAAACAAACAAACAAACCCAGAAGCCCTTTGCTTTTGAACTACTTTACCCATTCCCAAGTAAAATGATCCCCCAATTGGATCTGGCCATTCCAGGAACTAGTCTATACTGTCTTACTCAATTACTCATTTAAATTTTACACTCCTATTTGTGTATATAAGACACTTTTGAGGAGTTAAACTTCTTTGATTCAATATTCAAACCAGTTAACAAACAACATTGACCTGAAAATATTGCAAGCAAAGAATATTCCTAGCAGGATACCTATTTCACGGTGTTTATGTAACATTCTGTTCATTCATTCATTTAACTTGCAGTTGTTGGCTTCTGGCCACATGCCAGGGCACACAGAGACATGCTCCTGTGCCCGTGCAGATCTATTCTGCTGGGATGAAGACAGTCAAAATACAAACTCCCAATGCAAGAGGGGGACCAAATTATAGCATAAATAGAACCAGATGATTTGGCTGAGAGCAAGTATAGGTGGAGTGAGGGCTACTAGATTATGAGGTCAGGAAGTGGGAGACTGAAGGGGTCACATTACCTGCATGACAAGAAACAGTATCAGCAATAAGGCACAATGAGAAGAATGAGTGGTGGGGAGAATGGGAGATGAAGTCAGAGAGGTCAGTGAAGTCCAGATCATGTACAGCAAAGTCCAAACAGTAAACCTTAGAGTTTATCATAAGAGCAATGGGAAGCTCAGGGGGTTTTAAGCAAATGAATGTCATAATCTATTTTTTTCAAAAAATGACTCTGGAAGCTGAAGTTTGGCAGAGTTCGAGGGGCTATGTGAAGAGCAGCCAGGGCTATTCTAGTGGCCATGGCAAGGGATGATGGTAGCTATGCAATGAAGAGAAGTAGATGAACACAGAATATATTTTGGAGTTACATCTGATAGGTCATAGAGATGGATTAGATGGGGGAGGGTGGTGAAGTCAGGGCAAAACTCAAGGCTGCCTTGGTGCCATTTACTGAATATGGGAAACACTGTGGGGGGAATATTTGTTGGGGGAGTTGAGGGAAAGTAGGGATAAATCAAGAGTCATTTGTGGTCATATTAACCTTAGAATGTCTATTAAAAATACAAGTATATACGGAAAAGACGCAGTTGGATATAAAAATCTAGAGCTCGGGGCTCCTACTGGCTCAGTTGGTTAAGTATCTGACTCTTGATTTCGGCTCAGGTCATGATCTCACAGTTCTTGAGACCAAGCTCCACATCAGGCTCTGGGCTGACAGTGTGAAGTCTGCTTGGAATTCTCTCTCTCTCCTCTCTCCTCTCTCTCTCTCTCTCTCTCTCTCTCTCTCTCTCTCTCTCTCCTCCTCCTCCCCTGCTCACACTGTCTCAAAATAAATAAATGAATATATTTTTAAAAATTTGAAGCTCAATAGCAAGCTCAGGGCTGAATTTATAAATGTGATAGTCATCAGGATATTGTGATACTTAAAACTTTAAGAATGGATCCAAGGAGAATGTAGCTGGAATACAAGGCCTAGGATTCAGCCCTAGGACAACCCACCACTGAGAGTTTGAAAAGAAAGCCAGCCAGGAAAGACTAAGGTGGCACAGTCAGAGCTTGGAGGAAAACCATAGAACATGGCATCCTGGCAGGCACAAGTACACAGTGATCAATGGCAGAGTGCTCAACTCTATCAGATGCTGTGAAGACATCAAGAAAGATGAGTCCAGAAACATCGTCATTATATATTGTAAAAATGAAGGACACTGGTCACTCTAAACAGAGAGATTTCTGTGACTTCTGGGGCTGGAAATCTAGTTAGAGTCAACTGATGCAAAGAATGGGTACAAATATTGAGACAGTGCTTCTGGTTGCTATGAAGGGTAGAGACAAATGGGACAGAACCTGGAGGGGGATAAGAAGTCAAGGGAAACACTAAAGTCAATATGAATGCTAAGTGAGACTGATCCAGTGGAAAGGGAGAAAATGATGATGTAGGAGAAAAATGTGTTTAATTGCAGGAGAAAGTCTTGGAACAAGTAAGAGCGGATGGTATTCAGAGCACAAGTAGAGGTATCATCCTTAGACAAGAATAGGAACTTTCCACCCATTATGATAGAAGGAAAGTCCAGAGTATAAAGTTTTTGGGTTAGATGATGAAGCATTATTTTGGGACTCACATTATTTTGGGACAGAGAGCACATACATATTATGGGATATGTATATCAATTATATAATGAACATGTATATAACCATCTTTATACACTTGATCTTAGCACCAAATATATAATATATATATATATGTATGTATAAAGCAGTGTATATAGAGATTTAAAGGTTTATCATAGACATTGCTTTTGTCTGACTGAAAATTTGATTCATCAATTTCTTCCCCTTTTATATTGAGGATCTGTGATGTACTAGTTTGGTCACTTTATAATGCTACCAAACAGAAAGCCAAACTCAAAATCTGTCTTCCTTGGTAGGTTTTATCCTGATTTCCTCTAGACCTTGAGGCTGCCCCTCATAATACAATCAGCACTCATTTATTCCATATTTGTTTCCTGTTTGTAAATATTGTTTCAAATAGAGACAAGGAAGGGGCCAAATATTTTATAATAAGATATCATTGTCTTTCCCCCTGTGAAAAACCTAGTATTAGATATAAAGCAGGCACTTGAAGGCTTGCTGACCAATTTATCTTTTTAGAGTTGAATGACTAATAAAAAGTTTTATGTAGCAATTCCTTGGTTAACAGAATATGCATAATTCCTATGGCACCTGCTGAGTATTGCTGGGAGATGATGAAATTATTCATCAACTTTCTCCCTTACATGTTATTCAATTAGTTTGTCTGTGGCAAAGCCTAGAATATATATCAATCAAAAGAGTGAACTAAGTACAAGCTATCTTCCTATTAAGGTTTGCATCCACTATCTTAGCTTTGGTCTAAGAAAGTATTCAGGTGCAGGAAACTTTAAGGAGAATGCAATTGTAAGGATTGAGATTTATCTGGTGCTACTTGTTTTCTGTAGCATATTATGGATTTGAAATAATTTTGGTAATACCTTTAATGAAAAAAATATTAAGAGAATGCTCATCAGCAAAGCCTATTTTGCATTTTTAGGTCAAAGTTTTCTTCAGTGCAGACTGAAAGCTTAGCAGATTTTAAGTGCTGTATATGGATTTCTAGCTTGTTAAAATATCTGAAGCATGTTTAATTCCAAATTAAATTCCTACTTCTGAAGTCAATTACAGATATTTGTATATCATTATATTTAAATAAGAAGGAAAATATCACTCATATATATTTTTCTTTCAAGAAGTATCATCAGACAATATTAACCTTTAATTTTAACCAACAGGTTACCATGGAAAGTTAATAAATCAGCAATCAGCAAAGCATTTAACCAGAGGGCCCATATACCACATATGGAAGTCAATAGCATTCCAAGGAAGACAGTGATTATAGGTACCGTAAAATTTTCTCACTCTATGAAGTAACTACTGACAGAATGAACTATTCCATTTTTCCACATTATATGCAAATTCACAAAGATAATATCTAATCAAATGAAACATATCAAGAGACTTGGAATTTTACACTTTGTGAAAATCTATACCAAAAATACTAAGAAAGCACTTTCAGTAGAATCCCACAGCACTAGACAATACTAGTAGAGAGGATGCTTTAAAAGCATTTATTGCATAAAATATTTTAATTGAGTCATCTAATGAGTTTCATAAGATGCATGTGCATTAAAATATTTTTATTTTCAGTGCTTATATCTAACGATCTGATGATAACATAGCCACCAAGTCTACAGACAAGAAATATGAAAGCTGTTTAGCTATTATTATAGGTTTTTATTCATTTCTCACTAACCTACACAGATTTTTATACTGTTTTTACTCAAACCATAAATTAGTTTCTAACGTGATAAAATGGCAAAGTTCGTGTTGTCCATTGATAAAATAAATCCAGACAATTTAGATTTATGTAAAAAGTAACCAATAAAGTACAATCCACTCATTCTTTTGTGGGTTTTTGGTGGGGGGAGGAACATATATTTGTAAGGAATTGTTGTTTTAAGTTGCTAGGAAAAAGAGATACGATCTTTCTCTAAAAGAAATTTCTCCCCATGGAGGCAATACCCCTTAAAATGGAAGTTAATAAGCAATTAATAGCACAGACTTAACTAAAATATTGCAAATGTGATAGTATAATATCTTGGTAAATATGAGAATTTTGAAAGCCATAAAATTAAAGACTTTGATATGTGTAAGATCAATAGACATGACTTATCACTATTTAATATGGGCTTTAATATTTAAATGCCATGTTCCAATGAAAAAGTTGTACTGCACAAGAAAACTGAAATTTCAATAAAGAATCAAGACAAAAGAAACAAACTTTATATTAAAGTACCTTTAAGAGGTTATACTTACGCAGCAACCTCCTCTTTTGACAATCCTTTGACATTCACCTCCAGGTAATGATCTATGTCATCTTTTTCTTTGATCAACTGAGACCTAAATGAAATGGAAAGAAATAATAAAGTACTGCTTTATCAAGTTGAAAAGCTCCCAAACATATAAAATGCCACCAGGTGTAGAGAAATACTTAAGGTATAATACTATATATAATAAGTGTTCTACAATAGCTATAGACTTAGGTTGTTGATTAATAATTTCCAAATTTTCATTTTCTTGAATGGAAAGGGACAGGGAAGAATATTAACTCAGTGTGCAAACAAATAAAGCACCAGTACATTAAAAGAATCAGCATTCTTAAGTAAATGGAGTTTTCTCCTCAAAGCTTATAAGCTCTTCCATTTTACTCACATTGCTTCACACTGTAACTTTCCAATACAGAAGTCATATTCTGTCTCACACTGGATTTTGAACTAAGAACACCTATTTGATACAAATGTATAAAATTTATTTGTTCTAAACATCACCAACTTTGCACTGAAATGTTTGAGTGGTTTTTTTATCACACATAAATTCAAATTATTTTTTAAAAAAGTGACTTTAAGAAGACTTTACTGAGAAATATATTACAGTTGTAGTGTATTTATTCTTCACACTCCCTTGCACCTTTAAAAACAAGCATACTACTCACATCCTGTAACAATGGAAGTACAGGCCTAAACAAGTATGTGTTTTTATTCAGAAGCTAATGTAAAATGTTAATACAAAACTATGCCTTAAATGGTGATGAAAAAAATGTTTTTTCTTCAATAAAATGAATACAAGAAATAGTTTTCTTTAAAAACTTTACTGTAGAGATGTGAGATTGGGCTGTGTTTGTGCTGGTGTTGAAAAGAAAATGAATCTCAAGCATTATAAAAGACAGGAAGAACAAGCTTTGTCAGACTTTGTAAATATTCCACATTATTCAAAAGTAAAATTGAAAATAAGAATATACATATACCCTGAATTATGCATGCATCAAAAAATCTGTTTTTCAAATTTTCTGAAAGGAAAATTTGATTTGCTATTACAAGGGAACTTTTATGTTAGTTTAGCTGTATGCATTTATTTTGGTCCAGCGACTTTGGTCTTTCCCAGAAATACTAAAGTATGGTCCTTCTCAAAAGAAAGTAGTTTCGTAATACTTTGATCCTTATGCCTTGCAGGAAGTGAAAAGTTGGCATATGAAATAAATAATCAAACCTACACAAATTATTTATATTGATAAATAATATTTGCATCACTATAACTCAATAAAGCCATAAATGGCAATTTCTAAGGAACAGTTTCTAAATTCACATTAATACTTAGGACAAAATACATTGTTCTCTGTCCTTAAGTTTCTGCGTGGCAGCTCCAGGAGCTCAGCAGTCCTTCATGTGTAGCAGCATTTTCAGGCCCCAGGATCATTTCAGTTCCTAAATCTTGCCTGCCAACTTACCCCAGCAATAACACTGGGTTCTCCTTCCTCCAAAACGCAAATCAGCACTCAGGACCTTTGGAGTAGCAGCTATCCACCTTTCAGTCCTAAAGCCTCTGCTTTCAATTCTCCATCAACATCTTAAAAAGCAAATATATCTCCAATGTTTTATAGGACCATGATATAATTAGAACAGGAAATAAAACAATCAAATGACCACTAGCTTGCTAAGCAAATAAATTCTTAATATTTGGATGAAGTTCATCAATCCTTTTGAAACAGCAGACCTGAATATTCTGAATATAACAATATACTTTTGTCTTTAAACAATTTTGTTTTCTGAGATGTGTTATTGACATTTCTTACTGCAATCAATTCATTCTGTAGGAAAAGAAATGAAAACCAGGGTCACGTACCTTGGAATCGTGCTGGGGAAACATGGCAGCTTCTGTCTGGCTAAAGATGTAAGCTTTGGGTGTGTCATGGGCAGTGGGGGCAGGGTGGTCATTTTAGACTACAAAAAAAAAAAAAACCAAAACACAAAAACAAAAATCAGAAACAGTATTTTAACGAATGAATCTTTCAAATAATCCTTTAAGACATAATTAGAGATCCACAGTCTGTCATCTTAGCTGAGAATGCCTCTGTATGTAGAGCTATAGCTCTGTTATTCAGGAAGGATACTCACTAAGTGGATTCTGCAGGTTGCTTCTCATTATTTTCTTCTACTATGTGCCTTTTGGCCAATTTATTACTTGTCTGCATCTCTACCAACAATGGATAAGGAAAAAATCTGATAAATGAATTGAAGATTCAGACAATCAGGGGCTTTGGTAGGAGTTTTGTTAAGGGACATGGTTGCAATTAAAGAGTGAAGATTTTCAGGACAGCTATAGATTTCAAATGCTCATGCTTTGCTTTCCTGTTACAATCAATAATTGAAAATTGCTCAGACTTTGCTGTTTTCTAAAAACTTTCTCACTCACAAATAAAGGCTTTAGAAGTGATGGATGCTAAGACTGATTCTCAACAAGGAGACAGCTTCCCCAAGAGGCACACAGCTACCATAGTGTAACAAATCACTTCAAAATATAGAGATCCAGAAAAGATTGTTTAAAACAACCATCATTTTATCATCTTTCACACTTTTTGTGGGTCAAGAATTAGGACAGGGTACAAGGGATGGCTTTTCTTTATGCCATGATGACTGGGGCCTCTTCTGAGAAGACTCAGAAGTTTAGGGGTAACTCAATGGTGGGGGGGGTCAGAAATCATCTGTATCTTATCCCTTGTATCTGGTAATTAAAAGTATTAGCTGTGACCTTAACAGGCTATTTTCCAGAACACTACATTTGGCCACCTCATAGGGCTTTGGCTTCCTCACAGCCTGGCAGCCTCAGGCTTCTCCCGCAGCAGCTCAGTGCTCCAAAGACAAGTATGCTGAAGAAGAGCCATGGAAACTATATCCACTTTCAGAGCTTGGCCTTGGAAGTCACATAGTACTGCTTCTACTGGGATAAAAGTCCTGTTCAGATTCAAGGCTAAAGAACATAGATTCACCTACTGATGGGAGAGTATCAACACCACATTGTATGAAGAGAATGTGGGATGGAGATATTGTTGTGGCCATCTTTGGGAGATGCAATGTGTCACAGCGGGGAAGGTAGCTGAGCAATAATGAAGGTGGGTCTATAAAATCAAGTTATCTAAAAATTACCCTAAATAGGAAGAAGTGTGGACATAATGTCTGTGGACGTAGAATGGAAAAACTGTCACATGCTGCAAGGGCTTTCAGATGCAAAAGAACACACATTTCTACTGTTAGAGAGGCATCTAAAAGGCCACAGCCTCTTGATTCCACCACCATGTCCACCAGTTGTGATGTCTATCCTAAGCCTCACCAAACAACTGAAAGGCTTATTTTAGGTTTTAAGTCACTTACTTCCAGCATTTACTACATGTGAGACCCAGGGTAAAGCACTACCAACCTGGGCCTTAAATATATTTAGCAGATATTTATTGAGCTACTACTTGGTGCCAAGTACTGTTCAAGGTGCTAAAGATAGAGCAGTGAACAAAAAAGATGAAAATCTCTGATCTCACAAAATTTACATTATAGGGGTGATGTGGGGGAAAACAGATAATACACAAACATACAAAATATATATAATGTCCGATGATGATAAGATCTACAGCAAAATATAAAGCAGGGACCTAGAAATTACCCAAGTGCTCACCAGTAGTGAAGGCATAAATAAGAGCAGAATGAGATAAAGTCAAAGACATTAATGAGAAATTTGGTAGTGTTCTGATGGTGTAGGGTCTTGAAGATTACTATAAAAACTGACTTTTACTCTCATTAAGAATCCTTTGGAGATTTTGAGCATAGGGGTAATACAACCTGATTTGCACCTCGAAAGGATCAGTTTTGTTTCCTTTGAGCTTAGACTACAGGGGATGAAGGGCAGATAACACAGGCCAGCTGGGAGGCCAGTTGTTATGAAATCTGGGTGAAAGTCGATGGTTACTCGGGGAGAGGTGGAGGTGGAGAGATGTGGTCAGATCTGGGGTACAGCCAGCTATGGACAGCCAAGGTACAATATTCCTCTAGTGCTACAAAGCCATGAGGGAGGGAGGTGGAAGAATAATAAGACTTGAGGGAAAGTTTTTGAAATAAATGAAAGATTATGAAAATAATTTTTTGCATAATTAAAGACAAGAGTATTTTTTTGTTAATTTTTTTAATGTTTATTTATTTTTGAGGGAGAGAGAGACAGAGAGAGAGAGAGAGAGAGAGAGAGAGAGAGAGAGAGGCAGAGCGTGAGAAGGGGAGGGGCAGAGGGAGAGGGAGACACAGAATCCGAAGCAGGCCCCAGGCTCTGAGCTGTCGGCACAGAGTGTGATGCAGGGCTCGAACCTATGAAGCATGAGATCATGGACACTTAACCGATTGAACCACCCAGGTGCCCCGAGAGAAAATTTAATGCAGATCAGTGTCATGTTTTACATATGATGGAATCCTAGCATTACCCAGATTATCATGGCATGGTATGATCTATGAAACAATGTCCACTTACTTTTAAATAGTTACAGCTTTAAAGCACACTGTCTGAACAGCAAATGTTATTTAGTCCTTTCCTACTTCATAACTTCATAATATAGTGACTTCTTTTGTAAATAAAACTAAAAAAAAAAAAACCTACTCTTCTGATCAGATGTCATATTAACTAGTTGAGTTACTTGGATAACCAGAACTTACTAAATGACAACATTATGTAGAACATGTGGTAAGAGGTTAAGGCCAACATAAAGATAAATCTCACGGACAGGTTTGAAGGCATACCAAAGGCTTCCCCAAGCCCACCTCTGATGAGCCTATTTCAGAGAAGCTAAGAGTCGTCTATGTTCCACAGTCCTCTGATGTTACAGAGCAAATCTGGGCCATCTTAGCTCTTAACCCTCATCTGTCTATCCTTAATGGATTTCTAAAGGGACAGGAGAAAACAATGACTGTGTTTGTTTCAGTTGGGGCATTTCATCCTCTATGAATTAAGACAGTTCTAAGAGCCCCCACTTTGCTTGCCAAGGGCACTGGGGCAGGAGTGATTTCTACATAACTGCAAGGGCCCTTGAAGGGTTCATCAAGGAGTTTCAAAATGAGGAAATAGTACTTGTAATTCTCCAAGTACTAGAAAGATACAGCTGCTTGTAGACAGAAAGAGGCACCAAACCCCAGAGTGCGATCCAGCCAACAAGGTATGTAAAAGCCACCCCCGTAAAGTTGGGCTGTCAGTATGTGATGTAAAATTTATCCTTTTTGATGTTTACTGGGTTAGATAATTGTTGCTAGAAAATATAAGCATCTAATGAAATCAAATGCAAACACCACACGTGGAGAGGAACATGTCTTCTTTGTCACACATATGAACCGTGATTCTTTTTTTTTTCAATATCTGAGTCGTTTCCTACCATTAACGTTTCAGCTGCCAGTTCCTTCATTTTGCTCTCCTCTGATCTGAGAACATTAGCAGCAGGAGCACCTTTACTCTTAAATTTAGTTTAATGTTAGTATTGCAAGCCCTGCTGGCAAGCCTCAAGGCACAGACTCTGAATGGGGGGTGGTCAGAGCTGAATGATAAAGTGGAAAAAAAAGTTATTAACTCAATGTTGGAAAAAATAGGCTCCAACCAAACTGTGTTGGAAAGTTTAAGCTCAGAGTTAGGGTGAAAGTTGAGCAGGCTCCCCCCACTGCCTTAAACCCCACACACGTACCTGGCTTATGTCTGCTGGGAAACGGGATGTTGTTTTTCACAATTGATTCATGGTCACATAAAGGTATTTTGTTCTACACAACAGGTATGTGTGAACTGAATTTTATGGCGCATAACATTTGATATGCATCAAATATTTAAAGGTTTCCTACAACAAATTTTTTTAATCTAAATAATCACCATCTCTTTTGTAAGTTCAGTCTTATTTATGCTGAATTTTGTTAAAGTAGGAAGTTGGTGCTTTCTAGCAAATAGAAGCAGCCAAGAGGAAAATAAATGAGAAAAAACGCAAGCATGCTTAGGGACCTGTCATTTTAGTCTGAAATTATACCTGTCAAGGAAGCCCTTTGCTCTTTGCTGATATGAGTTGTATCACTTTCCTGGTGTTGGACAGACAGTGTTCCCAGCTCCTAGGTGAGCTCCACCAAGCGGGATGAATGGTTCAGGGTGACTATCTGTGTTCAAGCAGAAATGGAACACATCCTAAACAATGCGCTGTATCAGGGCTCTCCTGGTTCAAGACCACAGAGGAAATCACACAAGATGGGTGTGACTGCAGGAAGGGAATGGTTCCGATCCAGGCACATGGAGACAGAGAATGTGAGGCACCTCTCTGGCTGGTACCAAAACCAGTTTAGCTCCAGGAGCCGAGGGTGAAGCAGTGTGTGAGGAGGACCCAGAGGCAGCTCTCCCAGTACCAGCAAGTGGGCGGTGCTGCATGTGGCACCAAGGGTGCTGAGACAGAGATCAAAAGGCCGCCTGAAGCCATTCCACTGTTGGTATTCAGAAGAGATTTGGTGGGTTCTTTGATCTGCTGGTTGGCTCTTGTATCACGGTTTGGCCCCCACATGCAAAGACAAATGAGAATGGAGAAATACAGGATGAAAGGTTTAAGAGTGCTGGGTCAGGCTGAACGTGTCCCATGGTGAGAGTTTAAATTTCTGCCCCCCAAGTAAAATTCTTCAAAGAGTAACCCTCCTCCTCCTGCCCAGAGATGCCCTCATCAGGAAACACAAAGAAAAGGGTAGGCCTAGCACTGAGTAGACAGAGGCTACTTGGGGAGTGAGGAGGTCTGAGGCCGACTACCATCTCTAGAATTCAATCACTTTGGGATGTGAGAAAGCCGACAGACCACAGCAAACAAATTTATTATTTGTCATCAAGAGAATTCAAAATAAATATGATTTTACGATCACCAATAAAATCATTTGTAAGAATTAGAACTGTTCATGTTATC